CGGTGCGTTCCAGCTGCCGGCCTGGCCCGGGGAGGACTTGGCCGCGCGGCCGCCGATTACACCCAACTCGGCTGGGATGGCTCCGAGCCGTCTGCCCTGACGTCAGCGAGGCTCCGGGCCCCGCCGCGGCGAGATAGGCAGAGCGGCCGGGCGCGGGCGCGGCGCTAATCACTCCCAGATGTCCCTAATAGCGGAGATAAAGACGGACGGAGCGGCCGGGAATAAATTTGTAATCAGGGCTCTACCATCTGATCATCAAAGCGGCCCAAATGCCGGGAGAATTTGAAGGGAATGTGTGTGGGGGGGGGGGGGGGGGTGGTCACGTTTAGGGAAGAGGCGGGGGACGCGATCCTCGAAGGAAACTGACTTGGGCAGGGTGGAGCGAGAACAGGGAGAGAAATCTAACTTCTGCGCGCGTGAGTCAGATACGCAGCGCGCTTTAACTTCCACTAGACTGGCCGAAGCCGCTGAGCTCTTAGCGGCCAGTTAGAGCCCGGCAGACGGTTGCTGTGCGGAGAGTACTCGCCGGGGTAGAAGCTGGATGGTAAAGCTGCGCGCTCGGAGCGGTCAGTCCCCTGGAAACGTCGGACTGTTTCCTCTCCTTCTCTCGTCCTGCCCTTTCTAAACAGTTAAAAATACTTCGTTCTCCCACCTTCCCACCGCCTTACTGCCACCCCGTAGACGTGAACCCTACAGCACGGCCGAGCTTCCTCAGGAAGGGGGATACTGGGGCCTCGAGCCCCAGTCTGAGGGCGTCTGCAAGGTCTTTCTCTTCGAGGGATCCGCGGGCTGCGACAGGCCAGGAGTCCAGTGCGTCGCGGAGACTTGTCAGTGCCTCTTCTTCATTCAGGGGTCTGGACGCTAGGATTTGGGCTGGGTGGAGGGAAGGCGTTTCCTCAGGTCAACAGATCCAGAAAAGACAGAGCCCAGGGTCCAGGTTCAGCCCTTTACGAGGGCGGACGCCACAAGCCTCCTTTGCAGATCATCTCGGCTTGGCATCTACCACCAGTTCCTTTTCCAAAATCCAGGCGCGTGGGTGGGACTCGCGCGCAGAGAGGACGCAAGGCGGCTGTGGAAGAGAAAATTGCGAGCCGCACAGGCAGCGTTAGACACAGCATTTCTTTAAAGCTACAGGAATAGCGGAGAGGTTTCCCGCGCTTTGTCAGACCCGCAGTACAAATGCAGTTCTGGCTGTTGTGGCATCCTTGGGCCAGTTTATTGTCCCCTGCACGCAGGACTCAAGCGCTCGCAACTGGCTCGGGTTCTCTCTGCAAAGTTAAAGTCTCCGAAGTAGCTCACAAGCCTGCCTCCTGCCGCTCCCCGTGGCTTTGATTTTGAGCTCACTCTCACCCTAGGCACCCCTTCCAGCGAAATCGGCGTGCACGGAACTCACCCTCCCTCTTCTTTAACAACACGTGGGATACCAGCTCTGTGATCCTCACCAATAGCAGGCAGCGGCCAGTAGAGGCACAGGCCAGGGGGAAGGGATCTCGCCACCCTCCATCCCGGACTCAGGCCCACTTGCTACCCTTTCTGGCGCCAACGCTGTCCCCACCGCTGTCCCCACCTCATCGCAGGGACGACCAGGCCACCTGGCCCTGAGAAGGGCAGTCTAGGCCAGGAGGCCCACCCTTCGTAGGTGCCCGGAAGATTCGCTAGCCCACTGGGATGCTGGAGCTTCCCACCAAGCCTCCAGAGGGTGGGGCGGGATTTAGAAGGCAGGAAGAACCCCTAGTGATCTTGCTCTATTCTTCTCATAGTTTTGACCTGAAAAAATCTCTTAAAGCTGCCGTTAGTGTTTCAGTTGGGGGCGAAAATCCTGGAAAAGGAGTGTGCTTGGTCCCGCTCTCTTGAGCTTTCCAGATTACTTCCCAAGAAGTTGAGAATGGGTATGTAGGAAGGAACACACACACACACACACACACACACACACACACACACACACACACAGCGGCCAAGCCCTCTCCCCGCCAGTGCTTCGGGGTTATCAGGCCCTGGGCCTGTGCGGCGGTCTGGGGCCGGGGCCCTGACAGCCAGATCTACCATCAATTTACCTTCCGCCGCCCCAGCTTCCCATTTAGCTTTTAACGTCAAATCCTGCATTTTTGTCGGCTCCGGCCTGTCTAGAGAGCTTGTGATTTCGCTGCAGGAGTGATTGCTTTTAACAAAATGGCAGCAACCACATTATCCGAGCAATTAAAACAGAGGCCTTTTAGCCCGTCCCGCAAGGCAAGAGGTTGGAGACTTTTTTTTTTTTTTTTTGAGCAAAGAAGAAAGGGAGTTAAAAGAGAAATAAATGTGTAGAAGAGGTAAGCATGGAAGCTCAGAAGAAATGCCAGCCCAGCACACCACTCACTTCCCAGGAGCCGACAACTTGTGGCAGGGATGTTGGGTGGCTGGGAATGTTCGGAAGGTTAGGAAGTCCCCCGTGACTGTAGAGAGGCATAATCTGGGGTGTCTTGCTCCTTAGGGTGTGCATCCAGTTAGGAGTCCGGCCCCCTGAAGTGTCAGGTCTGCTGGATGTCTGGCCAGTTGGGCTTTCATACAGGTTGGAACGATGAGGTGGTTGAGGCCTCGGCCTGGTGCTGCTGGGCCAGAAGAAGAAGCTTGGCGGACAGGCAGGAGAGAAGGCGGGCAGAGCCTTCTGTCCCTGGCCAGACAAAGAGGACGAATTTCTGCAGCGTGGGTTTTAAAGCGTGTGTAGCCACAAGCCGCCCCAAAGCGATGTTGCAGCCAGGCTCTTCGGGATCTCCTCTGCTGGTGTCTAATAAACCAAAAAAGGGTTAGACCAGCAAGAGTGCATTAAGGCCCGGATGGTAAAGAAGACCAGCTACGGAGGGCAAGCCCAGGCCCACATGCGTGATGTGGGTTACTCCTCTTCAGTTCCTGGCTGAAAAACCTCACCACTTCCACCACCACTCTCTCTACTATTTCAGTAAACTGTTTTCTTCTACCACTGGGATATGAAGTCTTTCTCCCGATAGGATTAAAGTAAAGATGCAAAAGGCCCTTGGAGGCAGGAAAGGGAGAGAGCCACTCGGTCCAACCGACAGGAATCCCAAGAGTAATAGAAAATCAGGGCGCGCCTCCCTACGCCCCCCAGTGCTATAAACAAAGGCAAGTATCTGTAAACACAGCTCGTGCCCACCACGTCGGCCCAGCGCCGCCTGACCCGAGGGGAGAAAGTTCAGATCGCTTTGGCCTAGTTGTTCTAACCCCTCGCCCTCGCGTTGTCAGCTGCCCGCAGAAGAAACCCGCAGAGCCACTCGCCCGACTCTCCCCCAGCGCTTGCGAATTTGCCCGCTGCAGGCGGCAGGCTCAGTGTGGGCACCCGCGAGCCGTGGGAACCCCTGGGGACCCCTGGGATATCGGGGGAAGGTCTGTGCCTGGAGTCGAGGTGCGAACATCACCCCGAGGATGGGTTCCAAGATGGAAACCCTCTGGCAAGCCTCCCTAACACCAGATTTATATACGTGGTGTTCCATGAAACAAACCGCTTTTTAATACATTTCACCTTTCTTCCCCCACCCCCTCTACTCCCTCGCTCCCCCTCCTCCCCACCCCCTCCCTGGCCTGCCGAGTCCTTTATGGCACTTCAGTTTCTCTGGTTCCTAGAGCAGAGATTCCGGCTCTAGCCAAGACTACGGGCAAAGGAGGCCTCCGGGACTTCCTTTCGGGATGTGCTGGGACTCGAGGAGACCAAACCTCAGGTGGGGTGAAGTCCCCAGCGGCTAGTAGCCTGGGAGGGAGCCGCTCGCTGGGCTGGCCTGGGGCCGGGAAGACTTCAGACACTGCACAGTTAATATTGAGTTCCCTGTAGCTCCTTGTAAATCTAGCCCCTCCATCACCCCCCTTTAAATCCTTGGTTGTGTTCGCAATTTCTTACTTGATGTAAAATTCCTTGTTACCTAATCATGGACTTTCCCCCAAAAGCTCTCCCCCGACTCCAAGGCCAGCACCAATGAGAATTTGTTTGGAGATTACAAACAAAAAAGTCCTCTTTTCCTCCTTTTTCTTTTTCTGGACAAAAGACCTACATTTTGAATTAAAAACTATAGACTATTTCCTGCGGCTGCAATAACTCCTGGGATCTTCCTCAAGTCTCCTCCACCTAAAACACGTTCCCCAAACAAAAACCAAAGGCCCCCCACAGAATGACATCCGGTTGATTTCTGGAAAACAAGAACACCTTTCCACCTTTCTAGTGAACTGCCAAGCCCTTTCTCTGGCCCAGGTCCTCCTAATACTGACTCCTGGGCCTACTGGGGGGGGAGGGTGTAGGGACAGGGGCGGGAAGAAGACAGAACTCCGATAGAACCCAGGTCCTTTAGCAGGATTTTCACCAAGAACACTTCCCTGCGGGGGCTGGAGCTCATGGTGAGGACTGATCCAAACTACTGACTCTTTCAAACAAAGTTAGAGGCAATCATGATAATTTAGTTTACTTCTGAATATTTTAAATATTATGAAAACAAGTATAACAGTTTTGTTTTCAAAACTCTTTTGAGGTATCAACCATTAAAAGATTGGGTTTTTTTTTGTAAAAAAAAAACACACAGTGGTTTATTGAATACTTACAACGTTTACACCTTCAATATTAATTAAATTCCACTTAGTTTTAGAGGACGGAAGTGCACGAAACAAGTAGCTGTTGGAAACATCTTCGAATAGAGAACGACCACAGATGATAAGACAGCACTAGATATCGACCCCAACGGAAATGTTAGCGGCCCCGTTTTCTGCTTTGAAATAAAACTTTATAATCCCCAGGAATATTTATATCCAAAGGCCAAGTATTAAAGATACACTTCACATACACACTATTGTCTGCTGTCTTTATCTGGAAGGGGTTGGGTAAGTGGGGAGGGGGCAACGCTGGTGCCTACGCAGCCGTGAGGGAACATTCACACACACAGAATCTACGAGACGACGGGATCCCTTACCACGCGGGAGTGTCCTCTTCATATTAAAATATGGAATGCTTTTCTTCAAATATCCACTTTTTTTTTTTGGAGGGGGAGGTGGGGAGCGGATGCCTCAAAGGGGGGCAAAGAGAGGGGAGGCAAATTGCACATAAATAAACCGGATGATTCCAAATGCAAGAAGTCCTCAGAGCGGAGCCTGGAGAGCTTGCCCGGAGTCCTGGGTCTGCTTCCGGCTCCTGGGCCCTGGCTCACACGCGCTCTCCTCCTCCTCCTCCTCCTCACTGCTTGAGCTCCAGGGCCCAGACGTGCTGCGGCCAGCCCGTCCGGCCTTTGGTTTTCTTGTCGTTGCTGCTCACTGTGCTTTTCAAGATTTCATTCTGGGCAGAGGAGAGGCGAAAGGGAGAAAAGTGCAAAGAGAAATTCAGAAGGGAGACCTGGTTCCACGCCACCCCCGCACTTTTCCGGCGAGAAAAGGAGACAGTGAGAGAAGGAGAGCAAGAGATTAGAGGTGGGACATTTTCAAGTCCTAGCTTCTGTAGAAAAGCTATGAAGGTTTGCGCAGCCCTAGCTACCGGCCGGCCAGGCCTCCCCGCGCCTGCAACGCTCAACTACCGGATAGGCAAGCTTATAAACAACCAGCCATTTCCAAGTCGTTTATGGAGGAGCTGGGGGTCTTTTCTCTGACTCCAGATGTAGGGGCGCGAGCGGGAGTGGGCGCTAAATCTGGTTTCCCTGTTTTCAATGGCAGTCCCAGGTTCGCGCTCTGGGGAAAATGGGGTTAAGTTCCCTCTGCCCTGGCCTGGGCTGGGGGCTATGGGCCCCCAGCGCGGCCGTGCCTCTCCTCCGAGGCCTCTGAAATCCCTAGTTATTCGGAAGGTCAGTAGATTATGCACAGACTAAAGCGCCGCGGGCCCCAAAGAAGAAAAATGAGACAAATGGTATTATTTTCCAGGCCCTCCACGGCAACAGCCCTGCTCCGACCACCACCAACCTATGGGCACTTGGTAGGAACTTGAGATAACTAATTTTCAGTTATAGTTCCATGTTACTGTTAACAACAATAACAATGACCATATTAGTATTTACTGTTTCTCTTAAAATGCTCATGCAAATAAAACAAGAAATGTCCAGAAAGTTCACTAATCTGGGAAGTTACGGTTTAACCTCATGGCCAGAGAGAAACTGGAGGTGCATTCTGAAGTTAAAAGTACTGATTTTATGTTTACCTTTACGTCTTCGGACCATTGTAGTAACAACCACAAAACTTTCTTAGAATCAGTGGTGGCCAGGTTCTCCAGAGAGGGATAGGGATCAATAGTGAAATAATTGCTAACTAGCGCTTCTTGGCGATTTATTTTAGAACCACCTGAGGGCAAGAGAGGACTGGAGGCCAAATGAAGGCTCTAAGAGACATAGAACACTTGGGCCAGGGCAATCGGAAGATCAGTGGGGACCCCGAAGTCCGAAAAGCTCGGCCGAAGTGCGGGTGGGAACAGCGCTAACCCGGAGGGAAGATCAAGCGCGCGAAGCATCCCTCTTAACCTCCTCCTGTAGCTGCTGACATCCTCCCCCATCTCCTCAGCTTCTTGGGGACACCATCCTTTCCAGAACCTGGTCCAAACAACCGTGGCTTAGGATGCAGCCAAAAAACGAGGGATGTCATTGCTCAGCCCAATTGGAAAGAGTCCGGTAGCACGGGTCCCACGAACCCCACACCCCTTGTGTCCCCTGCCCCTTGGTACTGACCAGCTCCTTCTTCCTTTTCTCTTCTTTCACATCTGTCTTCTTGATCTCCGCCTTGAAAGCCTCCGCTTCGCCATTCTGGTCGTCCTTGGCCAGCAGGTCCATGAGGTAGGCGATGTAGCTGGTGGCCAGGCGCAGCGTCTTGATCTTGGAGAGTTTGGTGTCGGCGGGCACGTTGGGGATACACTCGCGCAGTTCGGCGAAGGCGCTGTTGATGCTCTGAGTCCTGCGCCGCTCCTTGCGGTTAGCGGTGCCCCGGCGCTTCACCGGGCGCGGCCCCCCTAGGCCCGGGGGCCCGGCGCCCGGCGGCACCCCCCCGTAATGGGAGTGGTCCAGGCCGGCGGCGCCGCTGGCGTACTCGGGGCTGTAGGACAGGGCCATGCTATAGTCGGGGGGCGACATCTCGGGGTGGCCGATGAGCCAGCCATGGAAGTAGGGGTTCTCCTCGTGGCTGCAGCGGCTGGCGGCGGCGGCAGCGGCGGCGGCAGCAGCAGCGGCGAACGGATAGCCCTCATGGTGCACCACCGGGTGGTGGGGGAAGCCCCCCACCAGACTCATATCGCCCTCCGCGCCCCTCCACGCGCCCCAGCGTGCGCGTAGCCCCGCCGCGCCCTCGGCCGGGGCCCTTGCTTCGGCGCTGGGCGGCCTCCCCCACCCCCCACCCCCCAGCCCTCGGGCGCCCGGGCCGGCCCGGCAGCCGCAGAGGGGGCTGCTGCAGCCCGGGCCGGGATCCCCCGCCTGGCCCGCGGGGCCCGCCTCAGCAGCACTTCGGCCGCCGGCTCCCCATAGGGCGCGGCGAGCTTGTCCCGGCACCGTGCGCCCCTGGCCGCCGCCGCCGCCGCCGGCTCCCGCTTTGCTCCTCGGCCCGCGCGCCGGCTCCTGCTTCCCGGGCAGCTGCAGGGAGGCAGAATCCTCTGGTGCTCATGCAAAGGTGCCGGGGCTCCCGCGAGGCTGCTCTGCGGAGTCGCCGGGCTCCACCGCGGCCGCGATCCTGATACCGAAGCTAACTCGGGAGTCCCAGGATGAGTCCGAGCCGCGGTTGGGAGAGCCGGCCCGGCTCTGCAGGGAGGCGGCGGGGTCGACTGCTCACTGTGAAGCTACCTCCATGCGACCCTCCCCTTCCCGCCCCTTCCCCTCCCCCCCACCAGCCCGATCTGGGTTCTTGGGCGCTTATTGTTTTAATGAAATTTTTGGTTGTTGTTGTTTTGGTCCTTGAATGTGATTTTAGCAGCGAGTAACGTGTCCTCACTCCTCTCGGGCTCCCTCGGAGGGTTTTCAGAGAGGTCTCAGTGCATCCATTTTCTCAGATCCTTTCCTTCTTTCAGGGGAAGGATCTGGGGCCCTGCAGGCGCCTCGGAGTGCGAAGGCGGCGGCTCGGCTTCTTGGAGGGGTCTGCACGGTGGCCGAGGGAGCTCCCGGGTGGCAGCCGCGGCGGTTCTCCTGGGCTGGACGCCGTGAGGGGAGTAAGCGGATTTTCCCAGCAAGATCTCCATGTACAGCTACATCTTTAGGGCTGCTCGGGTTAATATATGTCGTCAGAGGCTCCTCACGCCAATCCCGGGGCGGCAGGGGCGGTGCCTCTTGCTCTCCGCAATAAACTTTTTGATGTTCTCTTTGCTAATTGTCGAAGTCCTCTTCCAGGATTGGCTGCCCCTTCATAACCATGAGATAATTAAAAGGAGGGGGGGCAGGGTTAAAAAAAACTTTTTTTTTTTTTTTTTATCAGCCAGAGGTTAATGCGAATGTTTAGCAGATGCTTTACTATTAAATTATTGTTTCCCCCAAGTCTCAAATCTTGAAGAATCCCAAGCCAGGTATAGTATCACTCCGTTTTCTTTTCTCGTTAAAAAAAAAAAAAAAAGGTGGAGGGGACGCAGATAACTCTTTTCGAAGTGTTTTTATAGGTATCCGAGGCAAGAAAGTAAGCAGGCAGCCTCGTGCCGTTTTTTGTGCCGTGGGGGGTGGGTAGCAAAGGCAGAGCGCGGCGGGGCCCCCGCAAAGGGGCTGCTGGGAGTCGGAGCTGTCTCCTGGCCCGGGCGGGCGGCGGGCGCAGCGCGGGGAAGGCTGCTGCTTTGACCTGGGCACAGGCTGGACATGCCCGTCTAGAGGTCTCTTTACTTACCCAGCACGTAATCCTGGCCGGGGCTGTCTGAGGTGGCTTCTGGTACCGTGGCCGCTTTTGAAGATCCTGGTTGAGACCCCCGGACCAACGGTCAAGCCGATTGTAAATACTCTTATTTCCATATTCTTCAGGGACAGCAGCCCCCGCGACGACCTTGGGCGATTTCAAAGCGCAGGCACCTCGATTCCCCGAATTTGTGATGTGGCCGGTATCGGTGTTCTCCTGGTTTAACTAGCCTGTTTGGTAAGTAACTGAATATTTTTTACAGCGTGTTCAGAGCTTATTTTCCAGTTTTTATGAACAAACATATAAATATATCTCTGCATTCCTGCCTCTCCCATAAAAGCGGGCATCTGTGGAAAGCAGGTTTAGTTATCGGAGGGGAACCATTAAACGGCAGTTTAAGAGGCAGACCCGGAGGACGGCTCGTGGATGTTTAGACTGCTGGCCTTAGTGATCTTGAACGCATTATAACGGAAAATGGATCTCCATTTGTAAGTCACCGGGCCGCAAGGCACCGGGCCGTGGCGCCCAAGTGGCGAGAGCATTTTGAGAAAGCTGGAAGAGAGGTTGGGGCAAGGGATGGACAGTGGCAGGAGCTGGAATTTCCCCGGGGCTTGGTTGGGAGTCGCGAAGGGAGACTGATGAGTAGATGAGGAGTGGGCCTGACGGAGTCTGGTGTGGAAAAGAGTGTCAGCCAGGACCCTGCTAGTGGTAAATTAGAGGAAGCTCAGGGCAGAGACTACAGAAGATCGGGCGAGGTGTGCGGATCTGGGACTCATCCCTGGCCCTGGCTGGGCTCACCCAGAGGATACCCTTGCCTTTACCTTGGGTATTGCCATTTGGAAGCCGGCAGGGTCAGGCCCCAGGTCTCAAAGGGAGTCCTACCCCAGGGGCTCCGTAAAGACAGTCCTTTCTCAGCCCGCTGGACGCTTTCCGCGGGGTCCAGAGTTGCGGTTGGAAGGCAAGGTCAGTGAGAATGGGGGGGAGGGTTGTTGGCACCCAACTCCTCTGCAGCACAGTTCCAGGGCCGGCTCCACGGGCCACTACAGCCCTGAGCAGCAGCACTGAGAAATAGTTTTTAGGCTTGAGGTGGCTGGGTGGTAGGAGAGGGGAAAGAACTGAGAGGGGCTCGAAATAGGCTCGCAAACCCAGTGCAGAAGTCCATTCAGGGCCCATCTATCCCCTAGGCAAAGGGTCAATTTCCCTGCATGCCCGCAGCATAGCATCTTAAGGCAGAGAACAGGGTGTGGGGAGAAGCTGAAATTGTATTTGTTGGTAAAGTGCCACTTGGGCATGGAACAAAATAGTGACCTAGAGCTTTCAACCCCCAACTTGGATGGGTCTGCGATTTTAGCACGAGTGGAATGTTTTAGAGCCCTCGTTCTTCAAGGAAAGAATATGGGAGTGTGGTGGGGCTCTGTTTACATTTTCACCAGGGAGGCAACCCCTGAATGTGTAAATACTGGTAGTTCAATCCTCTGACATTTGATACTTAAAAAAGAAAAAAAAAAGTCTGTTTATAAGAGCACATCTAGGCCTTGGAAGCAGGTAGACAAAGTTAAGCCGGTTGCACCCCAGCTGGAAACAGATAACAATTCAGGGGAACTAGTTGGTAGGTTGCTTTCAGACCCAGAGGGGGTTTTGGGAATGGAAAGGAAGAAGACGCCAGGCAGAAGGCTGAGTGGGGGTCTGGGATGCTGTATCCACCAGAGGCCATTGGCCTCAGTGTTGAGGCCATCAGAATTAGCCACTTTCCATCTTCCTCATGCTCTTTTAATTGAAACAAAAAATGGGCAAATCTCTTCATGGTTCCAGATTTCATGGCAAGTGATAAAGGAGATGGAGAACATGGAACAGAAAAAAGTCATAAAAGATTCTAATCTGAACATCAGTCCTCACTGACAGTGTCATTATCAGTTAATCACTGCTGTGTGAGGGTCTAGGGCTTCGTACAGCTCAGAAAGTCAAGCCCTGAGACTACAGCCTTAGGAAGGCAGCTTGGAGGCAGGGGACAAATGGGTGAACTCTCGTGTCCTCAGCTGTAGTTGGTGACTGGCAGAGACCAGACTGGCTGAAGGCCACTCTGAATGCACAGCCAAAGAAGTCCCCTTTTTTTCTGTCAGTGTCCTCTTTTGTACATTTTGCTGCTGCAGGTCTAGTGGGATGCTGGGTTAGTCTTTGCTTTGGAAGGCTGGGAGGCAAATGTGGTCTCTGGTTTGCCCCCCGTTTAGATGGCCTGTGCCTTCTGGGTGTGTGTGTGTGGGGTGGGGTGGATAGTGAATGAGGGAAAAGAAAAGGGGGCAGATGAGTTTTCCACCTTCCTTGTCAGCCCAGGGACTGTCCTAGTGTGGTCTCTGGTGTGCTGCCCCCTAAGGAGACTTGGTCTGAGTATTCCAAGGGCTCAAGCAGCTGAGATGATATAGGCTGTAGGCCACCCTGGGCGCCCGTAGGAGGGATCCTGGTGAGCGCATACTAACTTGCCTCTCCTTTTCCAATGCCCTGCGTTGTGGAAATGCTCTCATTCAATGTCCGGTCTTCACTGTAGTTGGTGGTATACCCACTGTAGGGCGCATGACCTCTGCCTCCAGCTAAAAAGACCTATCCGGTTCAACAATTTATTTTGCACCCATGTCTCTTGGCTCTTTCCCTTCATTCCCACCCCTTCCTCTGGAAAAGACTCAAAGTGCATGGGAGAGGCTGAGCACTCCCTAGCAAACATTTTGGTCTTGTGAGATATTCCTTTTAAAATCAATCTAGTTTAAACTAAATATTTTTTTAAAAAACTTCAGTCTGTTTTTTAGGGAAAATACAGATCTTTTTGAGGTATTTATTATTACAAAGGCAAGGGCAGTTTGTATCTCGTGTTTTGCTCACAAGAACTCAAAATAAACTGGACCTGAAAAGAACCAGGCCGGAGGGCCATAAACACACATTTTATGTTTACGGGAATTATGGCTCAATTCCCTTCATCGTTTTTCAAGTCTCGTTTTACCTTATTTTCCTAACCAACTAAGTAGAAGTGACCGAACATTCCTGTACATATCTATAATGCTCTTACATAAGGTGAGCCTGAGAATGTTTGCTAAGAACTCCAGAGAGAACGTCAAACCCAGAAGGTGGCAGAAAAAGCAACGTGTTCCTGAAGGTGTAACCATAGCCCCCCACCTGCTCCAAGATAGGTGCTTCTTATGACACCTTGATAGCTTTGCATTTTGTCTGTCCTGGGGTGGGACTGAGTCATTTTATATGCTAGTCACTTGGTCCCAGAACTTTTTTTTTTTTTTTAAGATTTTATTTATCCGTTTGACAGAGATCACAAGTAGGCAGAGGCAGGCAGAGAGAGAGGAAGCAGGCTCCCTGCCGAGCAGAGAGCCCCATGTGGGGCTCAATCCCTGAACCCTGAGACCATGACCTGAGCCGAAGGCAGAGGCTCTAACCCATTGAGCCACCCAGGCGCCCCTGGTCCCAGAACTTTTAGGACATATAGAACAAGGCACATTGTCTGAGTGGCGGCAAGGATCTCCTTCAGACTCAGGGTCTGTAGTCCCTTCCTTTCTGGTTTGCCTTTTGGGGAATAGTTGTCCAGAGACAGGGCAAGTGACAGTGGTTCCAGAAATGTGGTGGTGCTCAAAGTACATACACTTCTACAAAGCAGAGTCAAGTTTGGTTGAACATCTTATGTCTGTTTCAAAAATGAAGGACTGGAATAGTGGTCTTGGATGCTGAGGAGGTTTTATTTGTTCTGAGCATTTTCCGTTTGCATTTTGTGATGGGGGTGGGGTATTTGGTGAGTGATCCCTCTTCCCCCCTCTTTCCCATCCAGAGCAGATCTGTGGAGATGGGGGCAGGGAGGGGCTGATCTAACTGCATTGACTATAGAGGGGCTGATTGCTTATGACTCCATCAGTCCAGTTTTTTTTTTTCTTTTTCCCCAGTCCAGCTTTGATGAAGAAACACTTAAGTAGGGGGAGAAAATTGGGACTTGCTTGATGCCTCCCTCCCCACCCCATTTAGCCTTTCTCTCCCCTTTCTTTTCTCCCTGACCTTCCTTTTTTCCCTCTCTCCCTCCATCCCCCCACTTCTAATTTGCCTTTGAGCAATGCTTGGATTTCTGAGGTTTCTGTTGTCATTGAACCTGAAACTGAAGAATAAGACTTAAGAAAGAATAAGAATAAGAAACTGAAGAATAAGATACTAGTTTATCTTTTAGTCTTTTAAGAAAAAAATATATATATTTTTAGAAATTGAGGTATAATTAACATATCACATTGCGCAAGTTTAAGATGCACAAAGTATAAGAAAAATCTTAGTATCTGGTATACAAGCAGTGGAAATTTGCATTTTCTTCTAATAATCAATGACTGGATCTTCATATTAGCTGGCAGATGTGCTGTTGG